TATTGGTGGCTGACTAAATACTTTTTTGCCCCACTGTATATGTGTGTATGTATGTATGTATATATATATAAAAATGTTTCCTTTTGTATTCATTTGTGTATTTTTTTGCCATATGATACTGCCTTTTCAGGAAAAAAAAGATAACTACGTCTCTTCCCTGCACTTATTTAATAATGATGATAATAATAATAAAAAAAAAAAAAAAAAAAAAAAAAAAAAAAAAAAAAGGTTACGTGTTTATACAGTTTTTCTTTCTCCTCCCATCAGCCAACAGTTTCCGGCACGTGACCGAAGAGGCCTCTTTCCTTTTTTTTCTTCTTCTAGAGACTCTGCTGGAGACACGCGCCATGCCTGTAAGTAAAAAAGAAGAAGAAAAACAACGCCTTTAAAGTTAATATGATGCGATAAATATTGGTTTTATTTTATGCTTCAACATGCTGGTCTTAGTTACGTCTTTCTGTGCGTTGGTTTGTCGCTTCGTGTTACTTTGATGTAGAAATGTGAAGCGAAGCAATATGGCGAAAACACGTGTTAGACAGAAACAACGCTTCGCTTTTTATCGCTGAAAACGCATTTAAATAATCGCAATTAAACACCAGAGGTTGATTTTTTTTAAAAAAAAAGTATAACTTTTTTAATATACAGAATGAATAATAGTATGTCTTTGCACAACATGGTGTATTGTTTTTAACGTTTTTGGAAATAAAATGTGAGATTTAGTTTGTAATTCTTAATAAATGGTAAAAAAAAAATAACTTTTTACAATTTCTATCACTTTTGCTTTCCTTGTAATTTGGCTACTTAAATTTAACCCTTTAATGAGGTCACAGCCTTTGTGTAATCATCATGTTATAAAACCTCTTTCCTGCGTGTTTTAGCTTGTAGGCCTGTAATCTAAAATCTTCTATTTTTTTAAAGGCTTTAATCTAAACATTGCTGTCTTTTCCCCCCAGCTTGCAAAAGATTTGTTGCACCCCAGTCCTGAGGAGGAAAAGAGGAGACACAAGAAGAAACGGCTTGTTCAGAGTCCAAACTCTTATTTCATGGATGTCAAATGTCCAGGTCTGTGTTAATCTATGAACTGATCTTAGATTATGGATCCTGTTTAAAATAATCTGTGTAGATTTTGCCTTTATGTGTTGCCCTTTCTCTGAATTTGTAGTGATCGGGGTGTCAAATAAGGCAGAAAGTGAATCTTGTGGTTGTTTGTGGATGAGATTTCACTTGACCTATTTACACTAAACAGCTGCAAGGACACAACTGTAATCAGGCATAGGTGATGTTTGGCTGCTGTTGCCTCTTTAGGTTAGTTTGGGATTTCCTTCATGTGTTTTTTTCCGTTTTTACAGGTTGCTATAAGATCACCACAGTGTTCAGCCATGCTCAGACAGTAGTGCTGTGTGTGGGCTGCTCCACGGTCCTGTGCCAGCCGACGGGCGGAAAGGCTCGTCTGACAGAAGGTAAAGAAACAAACCGGGAACTCTATTTATTGAAAGTTCTCTTTATTTTACATATTTATTTAAACTAGGACTAAAACAATTGGATTAAT